GTTCTAGACATTACGCATGCGGATAGTCGAGCTGTTGTTTTGCTTTGAATTATAAATCAAAGTGCTTTTAATTTACAAGTTATAGGATAAGAAACTTTTTCTAAAGGTAGTTTTTAGTATTTGTTGTCGTTATTAAAAGTCTAGGTTAGGCTTGACATGTTTGCCAAGTATGAGAAGCTGTTATAACAAAGACATGATTTTCACTTTTATCCCCTCAAGTGGGGTAATTTAAAAACAAATTTCATGATTTGTTTGGTGTAGGTTGACATGCTGTAATATGTTGTGTTTGCTTTAATTTAAGTGTGTCTTTGTTTCATGGTAATTAGGAAGTTCAAAGTTGATTTGATAGTGTGTATTATTATAAGCAACTATATAGGTGATTCTAGTGGTATATTGTGTATTTTGATGGGGTTTGTTATTGAGTTCATGTATTCTGTGGAGATCTGTGTTAGGTTGTTGGTCTATCATGTCTTTTGTATATGGTCTATCATGTTGTGTCAGCTGTGTGATGTTGTGAGTTGGATTAGGTTTGGTTGTATTTTGTTGTATTTGTTATGATTGTTAGGACTGGATTGGACATGATTATAAGTATATATGGGTGAGGTTTTCAAATTTTGCCAATTCCCGTCCCGTGACATAGTATATACATTATTATGCATTACTATGTAGTACAAAATATATTCATCAAGCTATTGTCAGAGCCAAGTTAATGTAAAACAGCAAATACTCATGGTAGGACAAGCATATACATGCATACACATATCATACACATGATCATACACATATGCACATTCACATAATATCTGCACACACATAGAGATAATACATCCGTATAATATAGTATATACATTCCCTCATATACATGTTTATGGCGGTGAATGTGTCTGAGGCTTAGTGTTGTAAAACAGCAGTGAATGTATAGTGTACTTGTCAGTAGTGCTTACATATCATTATAGGTTTTAGTTTCATGGTATCATCTTGGTCAGATGTACCTTCGTCTTGTACAGTTTAGTTGTAGATCAAGGTATATTGATATTGAGTGTATAATTGGGCACACATGGGTATACATGGGTGCACAGGTTTGTCTTTGGGATGGTCCCATCAATTTGAATGTTTCATGGGTACATATTATCACCTTAGCTTTAACATTTAATTGCGGATTTTGACATTGAGTGTTTTAATGAGTATAGATGTATACACAAGTTTGTTTTGGGATGTTCCACCAATTTTAGTGATTTTGGGGTAAATGATATCCCCTTAGCTTGATGAATTGATACACAAAAATATATGGATTGATGAACATTCCTTATATACACATACACATGTACATACACATATATACGCACACATACACACGCGCGCACACACACACACACACCGCTATATAAGCTGAATGTATGTTGAGATATAATCTTATAGATAGGCACGACAGGCATGGATAACGAAGTTAGCCATGATGTTTTCAATTTACTCCAAGTTAAACTAATATCAATTGGGTACATATAGTTCGTGTGTCTGGTGTGGTAGAGTCAAGAGTCAGTACTGGGCCAGTGAGTCAGGGATGGGTACAGGCACTCTCCTCCAGGCAGTGTTCGGTTCGTCTGGTTGTTTGACTTCCAGCACTAAATCTATACCTTTTTCTCTCACTCGTGTGTAGAGACCCTTTTCCTTTCTTAGTCCATAGGCACTCTTATTCAGGACAGCTCTTATTCTTCTCATTGAGGTTGGTAAGTCAGTTTGTATATGTTTCTCTGTGCCGTAGAGCACTTTCTTAGCTTGAAACACATAGTTCCTGTCTTTCATAGAGACGAAAGCTGCTATCATTGTTGGTGGTCGAGTGTCTTTTGGGCGAGTGTCTTGATATCTTGGTTTCCGAAGTCTATAGACATTCCTAAACTGGATTTGTTTGGCTTGGTCTTCAGGGAGTTTTAAATCCTTTGTCATGAACTCACGTAGTACTTCTTCAGAGTCCTCTGGTTTTGTGTCGGATTCGGGTATGCCGTTAAAAAGGAGGTTGATTTTCCTATCATGCAATTCCTTTGCGATGATTTCTCGTTTCAGTAACCCGTATTGGAAATTTATGTCTGCTCTCAGAGTTGTTAAGTTTTCTTTGATGGTGCTGATATCCTCGGCGTTTGTCTCAATGAGAGTCATATTTTCATCAACTCTGTGTTTGATGTTTGCAACGTCGATTTCGATTTTGTCAATGGCCGCTTGTAGTTTAGTGTCTATAGAGTCCATTTTAGCGGGTAATGTTTTCTCGGATGCAAGAATAAGTTCTTTAATGTCATCTAGGTTTGTAGCTGCTGAGCGTGTAGCGCTTGCCGGGCCTTCTCTTTGCTTATGCGATGACATGGTGTTCACAGTTTTCGTGTGTGGTGGGTCGTGTGTTCGTGTGACGACACAGCTATGTTTCTGTGCAATATTTGAGGTTTATGACCTGTTCGCAAGGGTTTTGTGAAAGGTTCTGCTTGTAATTACCTCAGGACTCCATGCTGTGAGTGGGCTAGGTTGGGTTTTTCACATCACTTCTCTCTGTCTCACTTAGACCCGTTTACCCAACATGGCGGACCGGAAGCAAGGGCGAGAGACATTACTTGTGAAACTCTTGGGCTTTGAACATGTTAATTACGTATGGTTAAACGGTTATTTCAAAAGAAAATCGAAGAATTGACAAGTGTGTTATCCAAGGTGACCGTGTAGCACATCTGTATCAATATATCCCATGAAAATCAGCTCAATGAATTATGAAGGTCCCGGGCGTGAATATCATATTTTGATTTATCATGAAGCCTGAAAACGTTGACTGACATTCACATTGACATGGGGTGCAAGCACCAGTAACCAGAGCAGATTAACTCAATTAAAACGTCAAAGCAATATTTGAACCCATGGTCATATCTCTGCCAAACTAAAAACACCCGATGTCTTCTTTAATCATCCCATTATTGAAATTTAAAAAGGTCGCTTTCATTTCCTGATGGATAATTCATATGACAGGCACTAAGTATCAACACTGGCATGTTGATTAGATTAAGAGCTTTATTTAATATTGAACATCGCATCGGCAACATTTCACCCAAATGACGATCTTTAAAGTTTGTTTAGAACTGTCACACCTCAATCGATAAATCGTTGTGACTACGGAGCTATCTAATAATTCCGTGTTTTGTTTGCAATATATTGACTGTCCAACAAACGCCGTGATTCCCACTGCGTTGTATTACCCAAGAAGATGATAAGGGAATATGGGATCATGAAGTAGTTATGGAACAACAGTAAGTTAAGTGAGTGAACACCTAGCGGGCTACTATTACAATACTGTAAGATCAGGTCATCACTTATGCATTGTTCATTATGTTAATTACGACCATCTGTATTCAATATTTGTGACATATGTATTCCAACAGGAATGTCGTGTGGTCAAGGTGCTTGTGTCCATTTTTTAGCGTCCCACCCCAATCACTAAGGGATTATATATGATTATATACAAGATGAAAAACTCAAAAAGCCCTAATGTTTGATCCATGAACATCTTCAAAATTGTTCGGAATACGAACAACTGTGCCTTTGTACTCCAGTTTTTCAACGATTGTTTGAAAGATTAAAAGCTACGTAAACCCAGAATTTATCTCGTAATTCAGCTTTCTGATAAAAGCTACATTCTCCACTGTTAACTGCTGCATTTTGTTATTTATGGAATATGTTTTTAATTAATAACTAGAGAATCCATTTCAGGCTGGCATCGCCTTTGAAAGTCAAGTATTTTTACGACATTTACGACATCCATTTCCCTCTGTGGCACAACATGAAATCGGCGTTGTCACGTTCCATCTAACAGCATAATATCTCAAAATTAGCAATATTTTGAAAAAGGTTCTCGTTACTCTGAATTCCAATACTCCGACTTAAAACCCCAGAAAACTCGGACATTTGGTAATTTTGAATTCACAAAATCAATTTTGAAGGATGATTTAGGGGAATATGTTTGAGTTTTTGATCTTTCAGAACAAGGCAAAACAGATGGAATACCACAGCGCCATTAGAATGTCAAAATGTCCTGTTAACCTCGAAAAGAGAGAGCTGAAATATCGATATACCGATTCCATGCGTATATATACTGTATCACGTGCGCTATACATGTCAACTATTCATGATCAAGGACTGATAATGGCTCCTTTCGCATAATTACTGATCTGCATAATTAAAAACTAATATTTTTTTAGAAATATTTATGGAACTAATCACAGGTTTTGTAGTTATGAATGTGAATTACATTTGCTTTACTTCAACGTCTGTATGTTTTGGCTTATTGGCGAGGGTAAATGTCAAATGGTTGATTTAAATGCTTAAGTTTGACAATGTTTTCTAATTATTTGAACGTAAGCAGGTCGTTAACTCTCATTTTCCGATAAGATGTATGTGGCACACAATTCAAATTCGATCAAACACTTGCTCAAACCTTTTTTTTTAACTCATTTCATCCACACACATGTTCAAAAGGAGCAAGCTTGAGAAAAAGGGCAATATGCTAACTTCAACCTGTTAAACTCATCTAAATAGTTACGTGCTATTTAAGAGATTTTCATATGTTAAAATTTGACATCTCCCGGATGCCAAAAAGTCCTAACCCTGCCTCGTCCAATAAGAGGTAATCTAAGAGACGTCTTGTTGTGCTAATTAACCTGGGTTCACACAAAACCTCTCGTAGACGAATTGAGTAAATACTGTTTAAACTGGCATTCGATCCAACGCGTATCAGTAAGGATAGTTCATTGCCCTGTGTTGCGCGACAGGCTGAAAAACATGGATCTATTCCCAATATAGACGCGATGAGAGAGCTCATTCGTTGTAACACCGACGTGTCAATTATAAAACTCCGATAATACCCCAAGCACCCAAATCCTGCACTTACCTTGTATAAAGGCAAAATCCATCGTTCTCTGCAGCATCATATAACGAAAGGTTTACTCAAGGACTAGGAACTGGATCCCACTTACCCTTTTCTTAAGCTGTGTCTGAAGCCTGATGTCCTTGCTAATTCTCTCGCCGGGGACCTTTGCTGACCACAACGTCCAAATTATGACAGCATATGCCGCCGACATCAGTATACACGGTAAGAAGAACAACACAACACACACGATGGTGTAGTATATCTTCCTGGCTGGAATGTCGCTCATTGTTGAGTTTGAAATTGGATCTTTCCACACCACTACTGGCCAGTCATCGTCACACCATTTCTCCAAGTGGTTCCGCCATGCCCTCTCTTGTAGAACTCGGTATATAAGCATGGGCATGGCAATTGCCAAAGAGCACACCCATAAGGCCACGATGGTATATCGAGCTCGCCGTTCAATGAAATGAGCTTTCATAGCGAACACAATCCCAAAAAATCGGTCACATGATATGAAGGTCAAGGTGAATATGCTGGCGACAAGGGAGAGTACTGAAATAGAAAGTAATAGCGAGTTAGTGGTAGAATTTTACAACTGCATATAGCATTTCAGTGTACCTTTTCGAACACTTTCAGCAGAGTCATTGACTCATCAGTAGAAGTACTTATTGGATCTGAATCCAAATCCTTCAGCAGCCCCTTTCTTGCAAAGTTCAAAATAGCATTGGTTGGCTGGAAATCATATGATCCTTTCTGTACAAGATACAATGAAACATATCTGTTCTATATTTTCTAGTCATATAACTAACTGGACAGACAAACGAAGCAAATATACATCACATGCATGTACAACACAACCAGAAATTATTGAGAATTGAAAAATTGTAATTTTTTTTACTCATTACTCACGTATTAAATGTGAATATTAGCAGAACATAACTCCAGATTCAAAGACAGGTGAACAGTTAGTATTTTGTCAAGTCACCATGGGCAGCAATGCAGGCTTCAATGCGGAGGGGCATACTACTGATCAAAGAAGTTAGAAAGTCGTGGTCCATGCTGTCTCAATATCGGACCACCTCTTCTTTCATTTCAGCAATATTTGTCAGATTTTCCTTATTGACACTTTCCTTCATAAGTCCCCAAACATTTTCTACTGGATTTAGGTCAGGGCTATAGCTTGGCCATTCTAATAATGTCATATTTTGGGTCCGAAACCAGGCCTGTGAATGCTTTTGATGTTTTGGGTCGTTGTCCTGCTGGAAAATCCAAAACATTCCATAGAACACGTGAGCAGATCAAATAAATGTCCCTCGAGAATATCTGTGTACCGCTCACTGTTCACATTCCCTTCAAATACACAGAGGGGCGTTGCCCCTAACACAGATATGCCACCCCACACGTTAAATTTCGGACTGTACTTTGGGCGCTGATACAAAGGTTTTTCAGTTTGTTTGATCAAATATTTCAGTATATTAGGCAACAGCCACACAAAACTTTCATATGAGAAATTCACATTGTCCCAGTTAAAATTTCTATGCTGTAAGTACCAGTTCAACCGTCACTCCTTTTGTTCAGGTTTCATGATCGATGATGGAATTCCTCGACTTTTCTGCCAACCCATTGCATGCTCAGTTCTAATTTTCTCCTTACAGACAGCCACAGTTCCTCTATCAATCATATCTAGCCTTAAGTTTTCTCCTTCGTTTGTTTTTAGAAACAAGAATACCAAGCCGCCTCCTGTCACCGACATTCAATCTTCTGGGCCTACCTGCGCCTCCCTGGTGCTCAATGCCATATCCATTTGCAATATTTTTCAAAACAGGATAAACAGTGGACAAAGGGATGCCTGTTCTACTTGAAATCACTTTAGCTGATCTGCTGTCCTTGTTATAATACTCTAAAATCAACTTCCTCTTCTCTAAATCATCCACACTGAGGATCACTGAAAATGTCGTCTGCTAGCAAGAAAACAAAGGGGGATAACTCTTCAAAAACTAATGCAAAATGATTAACGGAGTTGTCTCTCTTGAATGAAACCACGCACTTGATAGCTGGTCAAGGTTGTTTATAATAGAAATCCAATTAAACATTCCTAAAACTCTCAATAATTTCTGGTCATACTATATGTCACAGTTAAGAAGGGACAGATGTGGCCATGTCTTTCAAGCGACGCAATTCACTGTGAAGAGTTGCGTCTCTTGGGCATGACAGGAACCTATGATCGTAGATTTCGAAAGTCGGTTCGTCCCCGATTATGTATCCAGGTTTGCTCTTTCAAGTTGTGACATGAGTAAAATGGAACCGTTATGACTCCAGATTTTCCTCACACATTTAGCTAACACGCTGGAGTATAACTGGAATACTGTTCACAAATGCTGTTGCGTTAAATTCAGCTCACACACTCATTCAAAAGAAACTATGTTTATCAATTATCGAGCCTTTTCTAAAGTAGTTCAAACAAGCTGAAGCGGTTGATATGTATAGTTATGCACACTGGATAAGATGAAGACACAGAAGCTACTGAGTTGCTTTAATGCCACTTTTAAAACATATAGCGTTACACGGGTTTCAGACCAATGTGACCAATCATAAAACTCGACAGCTAGGATATTGAGGTTATCAAATCGAATACCATAAATAGTACGGATCTGAAATTCGAACACATGTTCATCTCTGCTCAACTGAGCCATCAGCGTCCCCAACGGTGACGAACGAATAATATGATTCAAAAGGACTTCAAACGCAAAACATTCTATTTTAAATGTTTTGTGAACTCATTAACGTAGGTAAATGTTCCAGGTCGGTAATCAAGATGCATCAACGTAATGGAATACAAAGAAGTGTTTGTTAAAAATCAATGGCTGCATTCAAGCATAACAGTAATTCATGAAACACCTTACATGATTGGTATTAGGCTTTTAGGAGACTGCATTTATCTAATGATTTTTAATCACTGTCGTTTAATGTTCAAGGCCGGAATGATATTAGGTAAAAGGCTTCCAATAATAACACAAATGAATGCACGTGATTGAAGATTGAATAAAGAACGTTCGGAGACCTGACGTTGAATAATAGTATTAGCGACACGTTTTGTATGGTGCTCGATCGCTCATCTGGATCTCCTGGGGTCTTTTCGCATACTGGGTTGCAGATGCACAATTTTGTATCAATTCCATGATGTCATGACGATGATTAAAGGCTAAAAGGTGGAAGAAAAGCAGTGTAACGGTGGATAAAGTGTAATGGATAAAGTAATAACAGATCTTTTTCCCGGTAGTTATATTGACCTTGTCCATAACTATCACACTGGGGCGAACAGTGCTGTGAGCAAACGTCTTGTGAGGTTTGCGATCACTCAGTAATGTTAACAGAATGTTTCATTTATCACGGGGTTGGTGGGGTAGCATAGTGGTTAAAGCGTTCGCTCGTCACGCCGAAGACACGGGTCCGATTCCCCACATGGATACAATGAGTGAAGCCCATTTCTGGTGTCCTCCACCGTGATATTGCTGGAATATTGCTAAAAGCGGCGTAAAACTAAACTCACTCCTTTATCACGCTAAGTGCCTGTATGTAACCATGTTTCTCTTTGAAGGTTCAAAGATCATCACTTCAGCAAGTTCATACAAAATAGGGGCGGTGGGGTAGTCTAGTGGTTAAAGCGTTGGCTCGTCACGCCGAAGACCCGGGTTCGAATCCCCACATGGGTACAATGAGTGAAACCCATTTCTGGTGTACCCCGCCGTGATATTGCTGGAATATTGCTAAAAGCGGCGTAAAACCAAACTCAGTCAGTCAGTCAGTCATACAAAATAAACCTAGCTGGTTGGGAAAAACTATATATATCAGTCTATTCTAAAGTCGCCCCATATAATCAAATTGACATGTAATAACAACATAATTATGCTCGCAGGAACATAAAGCTCATAAATTGAACTACAAACACTTTTCTATTCATATTCACTTTTGTTGCATTTCAGGTAGCTTCGCAAACAGAATTAAACAATAACCTTATTGAAAAATGATCATTTAGTCGAGTTGACTGAACGTTGTTTTATGCCGCAGTATGAACTATCTGAGTTCCATTAGTGAGGCCTTGTTAAGAAATGTCAAGACAGGACACGCACCGAAGTCCAAGCACACATTGTAACCATCCAGTTTTCATTCTAATACAATGTATTACTCTGGTAATGTCATTATGCTTCACATAATCTTATTTAGGGACATATCCGTATACTTACTTCAATCAAACATCATTTTCAACTGCAAAAACGTATTTTGATTCATACCTGAACACATCACCATTCGTCATGTCATATTTTTGTGTTCTCAAAGAAGTCCAAATGAATAATCATCTTGTGATGAACCGCCATAATAAACAATACAGACGTTGTTACACATGAAAGTACCATGTCTTGCAATCATTATATTCATCCTACAGAAAGCGTAACGGCTGCATGACGAGGCGAAATGATAGAATTCAATGAAGGACGGGCCAGGCAGAAGAGGCACTGCTATATTTCTATATGTAACGGTTCTAATTTTAGATATTACGCGTGATCGGAATGCATTTGGTAGAGGGTCACATGTGCCTCTAACACAATTTAAGAGGATGAACAAAACAACGCAGAATGCAATTTTGATCAAGATTGGAATGGTAGTTTCAGCGAAGTCGTTTTAAGTGATATGCAATGGACAATGTATAAATAGACACAGTATTTAGTGATGCTATGATCGAGAGTTAGATCATCATTGTTTGGGTTTTTTTCTTTCTCGGCTGTGCGTTCTTTATATATTTTCTTGTCTGTTGGTATTATTTATTTGTTTGTTTGTTGTTGTTGTTTTGTTTCTTATATCTGCTTTGTGTCATGTATTTACATGGTGGCTATTGCACATTGTGTACTGGATATAATTTCAGCCTTCTAATCTCTAAGTAAGAGGTCTTTCAGTATTACAGTTTTTCTGGGATAAGTATTTTTTTAAATGTATCTGATGTATTCTGACTGTCAAAAGGAAATAACGGCTCATTGTGCTTTCACAAATTCTCATTCTTCGTGTAGGCATGTTTATGGAACGAAAGAATTAAATGTATTTAACTATTTTAAATGCACATAGAAAAAACGTTCAACTTTTGGGTCAGTTGGGTTTAATGATCTTACAGTAATTCAAGTGTATCACGACAAGTGGATGGAAAGACTGAAGTGATGCATTTGTCAGACATTTACAACTTTTGTAAAAACCACGAGCACGAGTATGGTGCTCAAAATCTGGGAAATATGATCGGTGCGTGCTAGGGTCGCAACTAATCACAGTCAATTGCAGTGCCAAAGACGACAAGGTCATCTGTACCACTTCATCTTTAGTAGAATGCATAATATACGTGTGTTTTTAGACATTTATCTTAAAATCGTACAAGCAGTGATTTTGGGGTTCACCAAAGTGGTAAATTTCTGACCTCTATCTCTTCCCATACCAAGCACACATGTCGTGATAAATATGTAACTGAACTCTGTTCGAAACGGCATAAACCAATCCCACTGGGTCTATTC